AAAAAAAAAAAAAAAAGCATTTTAGGAATTAAGTCTCTTTCTTCTTAAGGTAAAGAAAAAGAAAAAAAAGCCTGTGTTGTTTTATTTCAGCCTGCATTTTATACTTATTTTGTTATTGTTCTTTTATAATGTTTTTATTTTTACTACTTGAAGCATACGAGTAAATATGTACACTTAGAGATATGACTGCAGATGTAATTATGTGTATATTATGTACACATTTATATGTATTTTAGGCTTCCATATGCAAGTTAATGTAAATTTGAATGGTTTAATAAAGAAAAGCTCACTATTGACCGCAATCCATTCGTTAAGGTCCTCTCCCTCTGGTAACATCACAGCAGCTCGGAGGTTTCCGCTTCCTAAGGTGGCCTCTGCATGTTTCAGCAGTTCATACTGATGAGAGCCTTCTGGGATATTCTTCTTGGGCTTGAAAGTCTTTGATGAACGGCTTCCACTACAACACAAAGTCACATATTGTGTCACACCAATCAAGTTTACAAGAAAAACGCAGAGACTAAACTGACTACAAACAATATCAACATAGCACGAGTGTAAGAATTTAAAAGAAAGAAAAAGAGTCACATATTGTGTCACACCAATCAAGTTTACAAGAAAAACGCAGAGACTAAACTGACTACAAACAATATATCAACATAGCACGAGTGTAAGAATTTAAAAGAAAGAAAAAAAAACAAAAAAAACAATGTAAAATTCAAAACAAGCGGAGTCGAAGTTTTCATGCTAAACGCAGGAACAGACATGTCAACCGGATATGTTGAAAGTTCAACGTTATCAGCGCGAGCAGATGTTATTAGTTTTATTTTTCTGATGGATGTGCTTCCATATTACTAATTCTTCTGGGAATATACAGCTGCTTGGTAATATATCAGTAATACACGATTATGGCAAGAAAGAAAAGGTTAACATACGGTTGCAGCGGCTAAAATACTTACAATAAGAAACTCATCTCCGGTTTTATTCCTCTTCAAAAAATTTTTTAGAAGGCAATGCGAAGTGCTACTATTATAAAGTTAATTCTCAAAGGCCACTAAACACCATTTAGAAGTACTCTTCGAAGTTCGATGTTTTACAGACGAAAGATATCAGTAGGCGTAGAAGTAAAGACTCAGGAAATGTCTACGATTGGTTCCCTGCGAGTGCCGTGTAACCACAGAAATAAAGCGCGTGGTTACGTGCAAACTTCCTCATTTATACGGATCGAATATTGTTACAATTATTCGGTACTTATGACTACACTTTCTAAACAATTATTAGTGAAACGATGAATAAAAAAAAAAGCCCCCTGGCAGCGAAAACCTTGTAGTTATACCGAGCATGCGCGTTGCGGTCAAGGGGCGGTAACGTTAGTTTGTCCTCACGGGGGAACATATCGTGACGCTATAGCCACGCACGGGGCAACGGGATTATAAACCGATACTGAATTTTAGTGTGCACACCTTTCTGCCTTATTTCCACCCGGTCTGTTTTTGGGTCGCATAGGTGCAATTTAGCTGCTTTCAATCTTTTTTTTATATTTTATTCTTATTTATATCACCCACCAATGGCTAACGTTACACTCCGGGCATTGCGGAAACTATGCCGGCATTCTCACCATCAGGCATGTAGTTTTCATTTGTCATCTTCACGGTAAGTGTGCGAGAGCCGTCTAACGTTACGGTCGTTTGTGATAGAATAAGCGCGGGCTACGAATGCCACTGCGTTCTGATCCGCTCTCGTTAAACCGGTTGTCATGTAACGTACAGCGGAAGTGTAACTCTTTATCAGTAATACCTCTGCTGTAATTATCTCACTATATTACACTTACTTTCTTTATAAAACATGTCATCTGCGACTTCTCTCTCGATGTTTTAGTTATGTAACAAACGCCGGTTTAATTGTTGAGTTCACTGTGCGCCCCCGAGCGGCTCGCCGGCTCCCGGAGCTCCCGGCTGATGTAATGTCATAAACCGCTTGCACGCAGCAGAGGCGTCAAGTTTGGTTTCGACAGAGGAACCCCTCTCTGCTAATTTCAGTGCTCATGTGTTGAGTTTACTCTCATGCTTTTAAGTGATCGTTGTGCATGATTGCTCAAATTCAGCACATACC